GCCAAGTCGGCCGCCGCGCGCGACGGCTCGGGCGTTTTGGCCAACGACAAGGCCGCCGCCGACGCCTACTACGCGCGGCGCCAGGCGCTGATGCCGCCGGGCGCGCCGCGGCCCCGGTCCGGGTTCCGCTACCCGGCCAAGTGGGCGGCCTTCACGGCGACGGCGGACCTCGCGCCGGGCGCGACGCGCCTCGCGGCGACGGTCGTCCGCAAGGGCGTCCAGTACGAGCTCGGCGACGTGCTCTGCGAGGTCTCGGACGCGGGCGCGGCGGCGGGCGCGAAGAAGCAGACGACGCTCGACGGCTTCCTCGGCGGCGGGCGCGCGGACGTCGCGCTCGCGGGCCTCTTCGCGCCACTGGCCGACGGCGGCGGCGCCGCGCCGCCGCGCCAACCGCGGGAGTCGGACCTCGACCGCGCGCTCCGCCTCTCGCGCGAGGACGCCGCGCCGGCGCCCGCGGCCGACGACCTCGCGGAGGCGCTGCGGCGGTCCCGCGACGAGCGGCCGCCGCCGGCGCGCGACGACGACCTCGACGAGGCGCTCCGCCGCTCGCGCGAGCCGGCGGCGGCCGACGACGACCTCGCGGAGGCGCTCCGCCGCTCGCGCGAGCCGGCGAAGGACGACGACCCCTCCGGGGCGCCGCCGGCGGACGACGACCTCGCGGAGGCGCTCCGCGCGTCCCAGGAGGACATCGAGCGCGCGCGCGAGGCCCGGCTCCGGCGCTTCGGCTAACGAATGGTTTGTGGGAACGCGACGACGCTCGCCCCAGGCACACACACACAGGACTACTACCACCCCGGCGCCGCGCGCTGCGCCTTGACGGCCTTGTTCCGCGACCGCATGAGGCCGCAGAACTTGCCGTAGTCCGCGGCGGCGAGGAGCATGGTCGCCGACTTGTCGATGGGCAGCTTGAGCTTCGAGCTGTCCTCGGCGCCCGCGCGGATGCGGCCCGTGAGCTCGGCCATGCGCTCCGCGCGCTGGCCGTCGTCGTCGAACTGCTCGAGCACGAACTCCTCGAGCGCGGCCGAGACCTTGGCCTCGAACTCCTTGTAGAGGACGAAGAACTCGGGCTTGTGCTCCGACGACTTGCTCGAGCCGTCGAAGATCTCGCAGTGGTCGTCGAACCACTCGCGGAAGCCGCCCTCGCAGGCCGGCGCGATGATCTTCCGGTAGATGTGCGCCGTCGCGCGCCGCAGCAGGCCGTCCGTGCCCTTCCAGTACTCGCCGAGGTCCTCGAGGGGCACGTCCTCGCCGAGGGCGCGCGCGGGCGCGTCGAGCTTGTGGTCGCTGCTCGCGGCGGTCTCGTCCTCCTTCGCCTCGGCTTTGAACTCGGCGCCGCGTTGCTCAGACAGCGGGCCGGGCTTCGCGTCGTCGTCGTCGTCGTCCTTGTCGCCCTTCTTCATTGCTGGCGCTGCGGCGCGTGAAGCGGTTGCCGACGAGGCGTCCGGCGGCGCCGACGAGGCGCGCGCGGCGCAGCGGGCACCGCCGGCGGGCAGCAGCGCTCGGCGGCCGGGCTGCCTGTTTGCGCAAAGGTCGACCTCAATAGGCTAAGCGCGCGAAGGTGCTGCGATCGTGCCGCTCGAGCTCGAACCTCAGTTTGGTTTTGAGCGCGCCGCCGCCGTCGGCCGTTGGCAGCATGTCCTCGTTCCCCGAGACCCCCCACCAGTCCCGCACGCGCGAGTCGCTCGACTCCGTGTCCCCGCTGACGGCGACGCCGTCGACGCTGCCGCCGTCGACCGGCCGGCGCACGCCCCGCGGGCGCGGGCAGCCGCGGCGCGCGTCGGCGGCGTTCTCGCCGGCCTTCTCGTCCATGAGCGTGCGCGGCGAGCTCGCCATGGGCGGCCGCGGCGACGCCGGCGGCCGGAGCTCGAACTCGACGGGCCGCCGCGGGAGCGGCGGCAGCGCCGCGGACGGCGCGTCCGCGGCGGTGTCGCGCGGCGCGGCGTCCGCGCGGTCGTCCGCGGACTCGGCGGCGAACCGCGGCGCGGCGTCGCCGGCGACGCCCGCGTCCGACGGCGGCTCGCGGCGCTCCGCGCCGAGCCTCCGCGAGTGCCTCGCGTCCGCGCTCGACGCCGAGCGGAATGAGCAGCTCGGAGGCACGCGCGGCATCGGCCGCGAGGCCGCGCCGTCCGGGGCGACGGCGCGCGACGCCCGCGCGGCGAAGCGCAACACGCGCAAGCAGCCGCCGTCGGACGTGACGAACCGCGACCGCGACCGGCCGCTGGCCGCGAAGAAGAAACCGGCGGCCGCCGCGGCCGCGCCGTCGCCGCGGTCCGCGCGGCGGCGGGCCAAGGCGCCCTCGGCGATCCTCAGCATGCGCTGACGTACTCGAGTCTAGGCTTTCTTATGAACATACTAGGGTTTCAGGGGGGGTAGGGGTGGGGCGGTTGTTCGCTCGTCGTTCGCTCGATGCGGCGGTTCGCCGCTCGCGGTTTCGCTCAACGGCGGTGATCGTTTTTCGTTCGCGCGCGCGGTCTTTGTTCGCGCGGGCGGATCCACTCAGCGGCGGCGATCGTTTTCACTTGTCGGCGCACGCGCAGGGCGGCGCGGCGGCGGCTTCGCCCGCGGGCGCGACCTTGGACCGCTGGTGCGGCGGGAAGTTCGTGGCCACGGGCTGGGAGCGGAACGCGCCGATCATGTAGGGGAACGCGGGGACGACGTCGTCGTCCTCGAGGCGCACGGTCGCGTAGTAGCGGTAGACGCCGTCGGCGCCCGTCGCGCCGTTGCACTCGTCCAAATCGCCGCTGCCGGCGACGTACGGCGGGTTCCCTTGGGACACGTCGAGGGGCCCCCGGTAGCTCGAGCGAGCGAGGCGGACGACGCCGTCGAAGACGCCGACGGGCCCCATGATCGGGTGGCCGTCGAAGCTCACGCCGATGGCGCCCGACGCCTCGCCGCGCGCGATCTGGTCGCGGAGCGCCTTCGCGAGCGGCGCGGCCGTGAGGTCCGCGTCGTCCTTTTGCGCCGCGATCAACGCGTCGGGCGCGTCGAGGCCCAACGCTGAGGCGCCGACGACGCAGCGCGGGTACTGGTGGTAGTGGTACCGGCCCGCGCCGTCCGCGTGCCCGCAGCATTGGTCGAAGGACTCGTCTTGGTTGGCGAACATGCCCTGGGGCAGCATGGGGTTGCTGAACTGCATTGACCCATGGTAGAGCGGGACGCCGTTCACGGCGATGCCGATGGGCCCCATCGGCGTCGCTTCGATGGGCGCGTCGAGCCGCCGCGGCGCGAGCGGGATGTCCAGGCGGTACTCCTGCTCGACGATCGCGTTCGGGTTGCGGTCGTAGCGCCCGCCTCGCGTGACGCCCCGCCAGGACGACTCGACGACGGCGCCGTCCTCGAGTTTCCGGGGCTTGTAGTCGGGGACGCCGTTGCACTTGACGAGGAGGCGCCCGGTCACGGAGCAGCCGGCGACGCGGACCTCGACGCGGTTCCGGAGCGTCTCGCCGCCGGCGCCGAGGACGGGGACCTTGTCGCCGGCGGCGAGGGCCGCGGACCCGACGAGCGCCGCGCCGAGCCCGCCCCAGCGCGCGGCATCGCCTTCGCCGAGGGGACGCGCGCCGGCCCAATCGCGCTCGAACGCGGCGATCTCCGCCGCGCTCATGACCGCGGCGCCGGGACCGCCGCCGCCGCCCTTGCCGCCGCCCTTGCCGCCTTTACCGCCGAAGCCCTTGCCGCCGCCGAAGCCCTTGCCGAAGCCCTTGCCGCGGCCGCCGCGGCCGCCCTTGCCGCCCTTGCCGCCGCGGCGGTCCATCGGGTGGTGGTCGTCGAAGCCGCCGCCGTAGCCGCCGCCGTAGCCGCCGCCGTAGCCGCCGCCGTAGCCGCCGCGGCCGTAGCCACCGCCTCCGCGGCCGTAGCCGCCATGACCGCCGCCGTAGCCGCCGCCGCCCTTGCCCTTGCCGTGGCCGTAGAAGCCGTGCTCCGTGTCGTAAGAGTGCTTGTGGTTGGAATACATCGTCGTGTCGAGTGTGCGTGGAATGTGCTGTGCTGTGATGCTGCGCTCCGTTTTCGTAGTTCTACGCGGCACGGGAGGTTGCCTGGGTGTGCGGATGCTGTCGCAGGAGTGACTCGAGGTGGTCGAGTGTGTTTGGGTTGTGAGCTGCCGCCGCTCGCGGTTTGGGCAGCCCCGCGTTCGACGAAGCTTTCGGCACACTCCGGCGGGCCGAAGCTGCCGCACATCGAGGATACGAGCGGTCGTTTGAGGGCAGCCCGCGGGGCCACGGCCAGCGCCCGCGTCGCCGCGGCCCGCCCGGCGCGATGATGAAGAAGCAGCCGTCGAAGCGGGTGACGAAGGCGTGGAGCAGCCTGCCGCGCCAGTCCATGGCGGGCAACAAGAAGGCCCTGTCCCGCGACGCCGAGCACAAGATGCGCGCCCTGACGCGGCGCGTCGAGAACTACAAGCGCCGCGAGACGACGCTGCAGCGCGAGGTCGCCGAGGCGGAGACGCTGGTCAAGGCGGAGCGCGAGCGCGGCGGCGACGGGAACCCCGTGGACCTCGCGTCGGAGGCGACGCAGTGGATGGACGCGCTGGGAAAGATGCGCGGCGCGGGGCGCGAACATCCCAACTTCAACTCGTTTCGGCTGATGTTTGGACGAGCGATCGTCTCTCGGGACGGTCTCGACGCGCGGATGCTTTTCCCGGCGCGCGCGCGCAGGAACCACTCACGTTGAAGCGACGTTGACTCACCCTTTTTCAGGCGCGGCGAGATCGACGTCGCGTACGAGAACGCGCGCGGCCGCACGGACGACATCCTCGACGAGCAGCAGAAGGACATGCTGCGGGCCTTCCGCGCGCGGCTCTTCGACCGCCAGCAGGAGCTCGCGGCCCTGCGCGCGCGGCGCGACGAGAAGGCGGCGTCCTGGACAGGGCAGGAAAAGAGTGCGAAATTCCCAACTTCAAAGGCTCCTATCTCGGCCGTTTTCCACTCGTTTTGGCTGATTTTTGGACGAGCGATCATCTCTCGGAACGGTTTCGAAGCATGGATGCTTTTTCCGGAACGCGCGCGCGCGCGGAACACTCATGTTGAAGCGAACTTGAATCACTCTTTTCCTGCCCAGGTCCTGGATCGGCCGCGTGCGCCAGCTCGAGAGCGACAACGACTACGCCAAGGAGACGACGTGCACGCTCCAGCGCAACTCGAGCACGCTCATGGCGCGGAACCGCGAGCTGCGGCGGAAGAACGGCGAGGGCGGGAAGGCGCGGAAGGCGTTGGTGGATCAGCTCGTGCTCTCGAAGCGGTGCCGCGCGACGCTCCGCGAGGAGCTCCAGCAGCTCGAGGAGGACCTGGCGACGGCGTCGCAGCCCCGCCTCGCGCGGGCGCGCGCGCCGCCGCCGACCTACGTCAACGAGCCCGTCAGGGGCGCCGCGGCCGCGAAAAGGCTCCGGGACGAACTCTCCGCGACGCGCAAGGCTTTAGGCGAGTGGCGCGAGCGCCACGGCGCCTGCACGCGCCTGAGCGCGGACCTGCAGCACCTGCTCTGGACCTTCTGCCAGCGCGTCCGGGGCACCATCGACGCGGAGACCAAGGGCGCGCTCGAGCGGCCGCGGCCGAGCACGGCGAATTTGCAGCGGCCGTCGACGGCGCCGACCAAGGCGCCGCCGCGGGCCAAGTCCGCGGGCCTCGGGGCCCGGGGCCCGCCGGCGAAGGTGAAAACGCACGACCTCGACCTCCAGCTCCGCGTCGTCCACCAGCTCGCGAAATTGGCGTTCCCGGAACCGCCGGACCTCCTCGCGGCGGTCCGCGGCGCGCCCGCGCCGGGCTGGGGCGCGCCGGGCGGCGCCGGGCCGGGAAACGCCGAGGCGCCCGCGGCGAAGCCCCGCGCGTTCGTCGCGCCGCCCGTGAGCCGCCTCGGCGGCCTCCGCGCGGCCTCCGCGCGGCCGGGGGGCGACGCGCGCGCGCCGCGGCCGGGCGCGCGCGGCGCCGCGGCCCGGCCCCGCCCGGCGACGGCGCGGCCCGTGACGCGGTGAGGACGTAAGGGAGGGGAGATGGCTCGTTGTTCGGAGCACACGTCTTCGAACAAGGGGTAATAAATAGTATGGGGTGGCAGCTCAACGAGATTATGTTGCGCGAGCTCCTCGTACTGCAACCCATCGTTTTGGGGCAATGTTGACGACTTTTGGCCGGGGACTTTTCGACGCCGCCGTCGTCGACGCGGCCCCAGACGGACCGCAGCGGTATTCGCTCCCCCGCGAAGGCGCCCGCGACAAGACTTACGCGTCCGGGCGGTTCGGGTCCGGTGGAAGGAAACCGAGGCGCGCTGGAGGGCACCGTGTCCGGTTTGGCGCCACGCGAGGAAGGGGGTTTTGGGGCAGCTCTTGGACGTGTTCGCGATGATGATGGT